GGTGTGCGCCAAATTTTCTCGTTTTACATGTACAGTATAGTACTGATTTCACAATTATTGCTAATACAGGGTATGACTGTGACTTGATGTTTCTGAAAATATATATACTTCATGTTGTATTAATATTTTTTAATGTTCTGTAATTGTTGAGACATAACAATTCCATGATTTAGGATCTACTTTATATTAAACATATTGAATATGTTTGTCAAAAATTGATACAAATAAATGTAGTAGTTTGATTAAGTAAATCCTCTGAAATTATTCCATCAATATAAAGGAAACAAAATTACATTAAACGTACAGCTTAATTTATTTTGATCTCTAGTCTCTAAAAGTTAAAGAGAGAAAACTTGTGCCTTGTTCCCATTATTTTCAAATTGAGTTTTGTTAATACATAATATATATGTTAAAAATGATATAACAAATGTAGCCCTTTAATTCGATCAATCCAAAGATATATTGACTTAACAGAAAAGCATATCGATATGCTTTTCTGTGAAGTCGATATATCTATGGATCGACTTCATCAAAGGGCTATATTTATTTAGTAGTCCAGTTGAATACAATAAACGTTCTTACAACTGATATGAAACACGTAGGCCAAATTATTAATGATTGTATTCCTATTTACAAAAACTTAAAAAGAATATGAACCTTCAACATGTTCAAACTAACCATATATGATTTATTGTACCAATAATAATTACACCATATGTGATTTCAACACATACCTATTAATAATAACACATTCAACAAATAAACCCAGGAAGTGATTTCATATATAGGCATGTTAATCTATTTCAATCTTGTTTCCTTGTTTAACAATCTACGTATATCTGTTCTCTATCTTAATTTAGTGTTAGTGAGATATAAAAAGGAAATAAACATAGTGGAATTTAGAGAAAAAAATTAGATAAAAATTAACTGTGACAAATGTTGGTGTCTTTAATTCAAGCATCCCATTCCAAAACTAAAGAAAAATTATTTAAAATACTCAGTAAACATCAAATAGAGTTCACCGAGGAGAAGAACAAACAAGTCTAAAAATTAAATACACTCTTTTATTCATGAGTATCGTTTGTTCAACATAATATACGTGAATTCTATTAAACACATCCCTGAGTTTTCATTTGTTCGAAAATCAAAAGGAAAATAATTTTGGTTACACGAATTCAAGCCTTTTTTTGATAGCATATATATATATATATATATATATATATATATATATATATATATATATATATATATATATATATATATATATATATATATATATATATATATATATATATATATATATGAAATAGGAGATTATAAGTGGTCGGAGCGGCTGCACTCGAGTCGCAAAGCAAGAAGTTTATCTTAATGTCGCGGGTTCGAATCCCAGTGTGGGGCGTGGGAATTGGTCATTTGGATGAGACCATTTAAAATAAGGTCCCGTATCGCAGTAGGTGTTGTCACAAAAAGATCCCACACTGCTCACCTGCCATGAGTTCCGAGTGTATTGCAAAATTTGCAGCTCTCCACCGGCAAGTGGCGGCGTCTCTATAAGAATGAGAAATTCTCAAGAGGGACGTTAAATAACAAACAAACGAAGATTATTGAAAAAGATAAGAAAGTATGTAGCAAAAAAAGTGATTTAGATAAAATCATAGTTTTATAAATGCTATTTTGCCGTTATTTCCCGATCATGACAAGGAGCACACGGCGGGTGTGACAGGTCAGCAGGGGATGCTCACTCCTCCATGGCACCTGATCCCACCTCTGATGTTTCTGAGGTCCGTGTTTGCTCTGCTCCTATTTTGTATTGTTTTACGGTCTTTGAGATTGAATACTGTTCGTTATCTCCATATCCTTCTCCATATCCGTCATTCTATCTATCTCAATATTTATCTATTTACTGCCAAAGCCTAAAAATCGAGTAAGATAAAAAAAAAATGGCGCTGATCCCTAATGTTGGTGATCTGCGTTTGCTTTACTCCCGATTTGTAATGTTTTAATGGATTTTGTGCTTGAAAACGGTTTGCTATCTCCATATATCATGCAATATAAGAAGTAAACAGATTTAAAGTTTTTGAATCCAATATTCGTCAAAATTCAAATTCATTTTGATTGTTGGGAGTATAAAAATTGTTTAAAACACATATGGTATTAAAAATATCTTCCATAGGAGATAAAAACAATAACCTGGAGCCCAATGAGTTTGGTTCATCTGAGTACCATCTACCCATGTCCATGTCCCAGAGGATGACTTCTCACCTCCAACGAAGTAGGTCAAGTTTTCATTTAGATTCCCTAGAAGAAGTTATCTCTACAGTTATTTGACTTTTTCACTGGAGGCAAATTCTCTTTTTTCTGTACATTTTTTTAGATATTGGATTTGTACTCACTGAGTGTACATATTTCGCTGATGACCGTGGCTAAATCACCTCCTGCTTTTTCACATTCCTTGGCAGCCGAATTCCAATTGATTTTATGTTCTTTAAACAGATATGATAGTCTATTTTCAGGACATGGATGCCACGAGCAGACTATTTCGGAAACTAAAACAATTAATAAAAAAGTAAATGGTTGGAAAAATAGAAATTACAGAACTAGATAGAACCAAGATAAAAAGAGATGAAAATAGATAAAGTTTATAAAAATACAAACCTAGGAAACAGAATGAAAACGTAAGTTTAATTTTAAACATACTCTCGCCTTGAATACACACAAAGCAGGAAGTAGCGGAGTGTATAATGAATTGTTTTTTTTTTTCACGTCATGACAAACTAGAAAAATATGCGCACTCATGTTTGTCAATTTCTTCCACACTTAAAGTTGTTGTTTATCAAGCAATGCTTAGGTCCTTTTAATAAATGTACTCAAATAGCAATACTTCAAATTGAAGTTAAGCTTCCGCAGCATTCAATTTTGAAATATACATTCTCTCTCTCTCTCTCTCTCTCTCTGGTATTCAGTTTTTTTCCCGAAAGTGTCCAATAGATGTTTTAGATCTTATTTTTAAATGCCTACTTTCTTTTTCTTTTTTTTAGCTCAATGAGGAACAATTTGAATTTGTATTTTTAAAAAACATCCTGGACCAACAACTGTCTGTCGTCAATTGCGTCTCGCTCATTATTTTTCACTCTTCCGTTATTCATCCAAAAACCAGGCGATTATCAGAAGACATACCTCCGTGTATCAGGTTTAGATTTAAATGAACTAATCCACGCGTGTCCCAGTGGAAAATCGAGTTAAAGTAGGAAAAAATTATTTTTGCATTTTTGTCACAAAAGGCTAATTTTATTATAAATAACAGAAAGATGAGAAACTATTGGCACAATAAGCCAAAAAGAAAATAAAATACAAAAAGTTACATAATTTGATCAATTTATGAAATTTTTTATAATTTTTTTTCTCAAACAGACATGTTATCCTACGTCCTAACATTCTTCAAGTAATTTGCATGGTACTTTCATAATTACTTAAATACCTCGCAAATATTTTATGTGTCATTTTTCTTTTTTACCCCGGACAGCAAAAATCTAAAAGATGTCAGTCTCGATACGATCCTTCTATCGTTTCATTGCTTTGCAGCATTTGGGAAATGTCCTAATCTGTCACAATTTTTTTTATAGGAAACCAAGTGGATTGATTAAGAGATAAATCTTGTGATCCACAAAGAGTTTCCGATCAAATAATTTTCATTGCCTTGCAGCCCCCCATTTTTAAAAATGTTTTTATTATTGATTTTTTTTTTCAATCCTTCCATACTTCTGATTATTTAATTGCTTCATCATTTAATTCACAAGTTTATTCTTTGATGTTTCATATCTTCTCAAAAAATTGAATGAAAAAAAATATTATTATCTGTCCAATTTTACTTCAAAGGAAAGAATGCAATTTCTCAGGAAGTGATGTATTCTTACACTCCGTCTTAACTACCGGGGTACGTGAAGAGACAACAAAGTTCCATTGTCATGACAAAGTAAACTTCAAGACAATACAAATTATTCTTTATAAGGAAAAAAAGACAAACAGAATAAATTATTACAAAAAATCGAAAATTAATTCCTTAGAATAAAGAATTTCATTAGATTTATATCATTTAAGAGGCTGTTTCATGAATGGGAACAAACTTGAAAAAGTTGAATCGTGTCTATGAGTGTTCCTGTTAAATACACAACGTTTTCCATCCCTCCACGTCCTGCTTTCTGCATCAACCCAAGAAATCCTCTGCCTGGTGAGAAGAAATATTAATCCTAAATTAATTTATTAGGAATTATTCATGAATGTATTTCATTTTTAACAGTTCTGAAATACACCGTTTTTCCAAACATGCTCGAAGAGGGAAATTCCTTATATCGGTTTCGAACAAAGAGATATATTTACACGATATATGATTGAATGTATATTGTTTTACGTCGTGTTCGCGAATTTTTCACTCATATAGAGACGTCCCAATGTACCGGTAAATTAAGAGCTTCATAAATTAGACATTTACTTTGTATTCAGGGCAATTGAGCTGTGGGGGTTCAGTATCGTAAAAAAAAAAATTCATAATCAAACCACTTAGAACTTGATTTCTGTCTAATTCGTTCCTCAATCGAAAGAAATCATATAATGCTTAGCGGAGAAACGTTTGCTGCATATATTTCATCGACTTGAGTCGATCAAACTTCCGAATAACGAGAGAACGATACCAACCGGGCTACTGTGAGGGCTTACTTGAGATATTTCTATAACCCCCTATATAATGTACATGTACATGGACAAACGTTGTCAATGCGTTATCGTGCGATACATCTTCTTATATTGTTACAAAAGAGAAAGTAAAGAAGATCCCCATAAAGTCAGGTAAATATCGACGACGTAATATTTCTTTTGAATGAAAAAGGATAATACGTTAGTTCGAGTACATTTAAATGTACGTCCGAATTAAACACAAAATACGCAATTTCCTTTGAAGTATAAAAGATGAAACATATGAAGATAACGAACAGTATTCAAGATCAGAAGTCCATTAAACAATACAAAATAGAAGCAGAGCAAACACAGACTTCCAAAACATCAGACGTGGGATCAGATGCCTTGGAGGAGTAAGCATCCTCTGTCGACCGGTTACACCCGCCGTGTGCTCCTTGTCAGGATCAAATTTGTACAGAGAAAGATAGAGAGGGAGAGGGGTAGAAAGATTCATATATAAATGTTCTAAAATTAAAAATAAACACATACTTTCTCGTTATTGTACGCTCTGTCAGAATATTACTTGACAAAGACGTTAATGGTAGTCTAACAACCAAGCTTTATGATAAACATGATGACTTTAACTTTACAATCGTCAACTTCCCTTACTTATGCATCATTATATGTTCATCACCTGCATACTGAGTTAACTAGTATATATCTCAATTGATTCGATACGCAAGATCATGCGCTACCTTTGAAGAATTTCTAAAACGGTCTTCGAGATAAATTATTGACAAACAAGTTGATGAAATAAGAATATCAGCAGTTTTGTTTAAAGTCATCATTTCGTAAGTAATATGGTCGATACAAAGACCTTGTCAGCAAATACATTTTATCATTGGGTCAAATGCTGACTGACATTTTCATAATTATTGTTAGTCCACTATTTATACACTGAATTGACGACGGATTATTCCGATTTTCACGGTCATGACAATGAGCATACGGTGGGTCTGACCGGTCAGCAGGGTAATAACGAAAAAATAATGGCCTTACAATTACTATGAAAAACGGCAGTCATCACTTGACGCAGTGTTAACATGTATTAGCTGACAAGTTCATTGTATCAACCATAGAACTTACGAAATGATGACTTTAAACGAAACTGCTGATATTCTTGTTTCATCAACATGTCTGTAAAAATAATTACCTCGTTTTTTTTAATTGAAGGTACGTAGATCGTGCTATTACGTATCCAATTAACTGAGAGATAAAAACCCCGCATGCAGGTAATGAAGGTATAAATAGGGTATTGCTGCATAAGTAATTGAAGTTGATAATTGAAAATTTTCAGTTAACAATTTTCGTCTTTTTCAAGTAAAATATCCAAATATGAAACAGACGTTTCAGACTTTGAGGTATCTTTTATCCCAAGCTTACTCCCCCATGGCACCTGATTCAATCTCTCATGTTTTGGAGGTCCGTGTTTGCTTTGCTCCTATTTTGTGTTGTTTTATGGACTTTTGAGCTTGAATACTCTTCTTCATCTCCACGTATTTCATTAAATAACATATTTTTTATCATGATATTACCGGTAGATACATGGGTCATGAATTGTATACGGATTACTTAATTTTCGCGATCATGGCAAGACGGGATCCTGACTCCTCCATGGCACTAATACCACATCTGATTTCACATTGATTAGTGTTTGTTCTGAATTGTGGCAGACAAAAGCGAGGTGAGTAAACTACCAATACACGGTTACATGTAACCCCGTATATTATATAAAATGATATGACAAATGAACAATGCAATTTTTAGCCTTTAACAAATACATATAGTATTGAGGCTCTATTGAATTTCTAACATATAAATAAATATCAATCTTTTCCTCTAAAAAAGTATTAAAAATTAATAGCGATTCAAAATCTGGATTTACAGTCCAGCTTTTAAATATTTATCAAACACTCTCAATTAGTTTTGTTTGGATTTATAGTTAGGTTTGAAAGTAATTTAGTATTAGATAAATGTAAACATGGAAAACGAAAAGTTAAAAGCGTAGGGCAACAGTAATGATAAAAAAGTAAACAGTACTGAATAAATGCCTCGTACTTCTGCTGCAACATTATATCTTCGTGATAAAATCAAAAATACAACGGTCGGAGCAGCATCTACTTACTGAAAATGCTTATCATACTCATAATTTTATTTCATTTCTTTGAGATTGGAATATCTGATTATCGCAATTCTATACGGTCCTACAGGTATCGGACAACAAAGTTAATCATAGCATTTCTTATGTATTCGCCAATTTTCAATTAACATGTGGTGTAATGTGTAGATGTACTTTATTTGTATAAATAATAGACTAACAATTTGTATGAAAAACGTCATATTGTATTTACCAATTTTGTTTGTAAGTAAAGGATACTCTGAAATTCCGATATTGAATCAACTGCATGTTGCATTAATTCTCAAAAAAATCCATTGTAAAGATTAGATTAGATTATTTACCACATCACGTTTAGAAGTTGAATTGAAATTATAATTGTAAATACTTTACCTACTTGTACTTACCTCTAGAATACATACACAAATATTGTCTCAACTTCTTATGAACAGGTTGTGATTCGCCATGGATGGAGATACTTGGGCATTGCTACTTGTATGACAAGACAAAAGTCACATGGAATGAGGCTAAGGTAATATCATGGACATTAGCAAGGTTTATGGCTTTCGTATAGAATTATTCTAGAACCCTTGAGTAAATGTATTGGTACTTAACATGTCAAATTCTGGTACATTCAACCCACCGTCCCACTCTCCTTTTTAAAGATTTTGTCAACTTTATTTCCTATGTAAAATGTTGATAAAAAGGTCTTAAATAATATTTCACTATGATTTACCCAAAAATCATTTTTTTTTTAAACAAGTATTATATACATTACTGTTTTCTCATTTCCTCTGACATTTAAATATTTGGGCTGAAATGAATATATATAGAAACAAGAGGCCCAT